GCAGGAATGGTGCCTTCACAGATGTGCAAGTTACCCATGCCATGGGCACTAACACAGCCCCATACCATCACAGATGCTGGCTTTTGAATTTTGCACTGATAACAATCTGGATGGTCCTTTTCCTCTTTAGCCCGGAGGACACAACGTCCATGGGATCGAAGTTCAGTGTTGGTTTTACGACCTTACTGCTTATGTGCAGAGATTTCTCCAGATTCTCTGAATCTTTTGATATTTTGGACCGTAGATGATGAAATACCTAAATTCCTTGCAATTGTACATTGAGAAACATTGTTCTTAATTTGCTCACGGAGTTCACAAAGTGGTGAACCGCGCCCCATCCTTGCTTGTGAATAACTGAGCCTTTTGGGAACTTCTGGAGAGAGTTTGCTGCACTGAAAGTAAAGGGGCTGAATAATTTTGCACGCCCAATTTTTCAGTTTTTTATTTGTTAAAAAAGTTTGAAATATCCAATAAATTTCGTTCCACTTCATGATTGTGTCCCACTTGTTGTTGATTCTTCACAAAAAATTACAGTTTTATATCTTTATGTTTGAAGCCTGAAATGTGGCAAAAGGTCACAAAGTTCAAGGGGGCCGAATACTTCCGCAAGGCACTGTAGCTGTCCGAAATGAAAACACCCATTCACTTAAACTTGTATGTAGGCAGGCTGAGTGGAAGTGGAAAAAATATCCTCTTCAGATTTTGCTGGATATTTAAAAAAAAAGCAAATAAGAGATTATCAAAGTGCTGTCAAACTTGCTAGAGCTCAATACTTTTCCAGGCTTATTGTAAACAATTGTCATAGACGCAGGGTGTTGTTCAGCACCATAAATGCGGTCTTAAATCCATCTACTGCTGCTTGGATGGATGTGTCCTCCGCTACTTGCAATGAGTTTCTTCAATTTTTTTTGGATAAAATTGTTATGATCAGGTCCCAGATTGATGATTCTGTTCTGGATCCTTCTATTGTTCCTATATGCTCAGCTGTTTTTGACCAGCGTATTTCATTAACTGCTCTTATGAAAGTAGTTCAGCTTGTGAAACCCTCTCATTGTCCTTTGGACATTATGCCAGCAGCTCTGTTTAAAGAGGCTTTTCATAGTATTGGTTTGGACATTGTCAATCTTATTAATGGCTCTGGCTTCTGGGATTGTCTCAACGGCACTTAAACATGCAGTGATTCAACCAATTCTTAAAAAACCCAATCTTGATATTACTGTTTTATCGAATTTTAGACCAGTTTCCAAGTTACCATTTTTGTCTAAGTGTCAGGTTTACCCGGCCACTTTGGCCTCTCTCACCTTCCTCACTCTGTCTATCTTAGCCCCTGATTGCTCCTCACTACCAGGATTAGCACCAGCTGCACTCCATTAGACAGTACCGAATCAGCGTGGTGCGGGTATTTAATGATCTTGTGTTGACTGTGGATGAAGGTAATACTGCTATTCTGATTCTCTTAGATCTTGCGGCTGCTTTTGACACAGTAGACCTTTGTATTTTGTTGTCCCGTCTGCAGCACTCTGTAGGACTTCATGGTGGTGTTCTTAAATGGTTTGAATCATCATATTTGTCTGATAGGAGTTTTTCTGTACATATTGGTGTTCCTCAGGGATCCATACTTGGGCCAGTCCTCTTTTCCTTGTATTTACTTCCCCTTGGATCGATTTTTATGAAATATGGGTTGTCTTTTCATTGTTACGCGGATGATATTCAAATTTATTTGCCATTGAATGTCAAGAAGAGCAACTCATTTCAGACCTTGATGGACTGCTTAAGGGACATTAAGGCTTGGTTATCACATAATTTCTTACATATTAATGAAGGTAAGACAGAATGTGTTGTAATTGGTAACTCTGGTGTCACTGGTTCTGATATTCCTGGCTCTTTGGCCTCCTACCTGAGGCCTCGTGAGAAATCTTGGGGTGGTATTTGATGGTGCTCTTAAGCTGGACGAACAGATAAAATCTGTGGTTAAAGCCAGCTTCTTTCAATTGAGACTTCTGGCTAAGGTTAAACACTTTCTTTCTTTTAGTGATTTTCAAAAGGCAAATCATGCCTTTACACATTGGGGAGACCGAGCTTTTCAGTTTGGGCTCCTATACTGTGGAATGGTCTGCCAAGGGAGATTAGATCTGCTCCTAACCTGACTGTTTTTAGATCACTTCTCAAAACGCATTTGTATTCACAAGCCTTTGACAATTTTATTGATTGATGTATTTGTTCTGACTATGCATTTTTGTTATTTTATTGTGTAGAAGTGTTTTATCTGGTTTTATGTATTTTTATTATTTCTTATGTTTTACTGGAAAGCACTTTGTAACGCAGGTTTAGAAAGGTGCTGTATAAATTTTGCTTGCTTGCTTAACAGCGTGGCATGAAACAATTCAAATATGTAATTTGGAAGACTCATCCAAAATTTTGCGATGGTGTGCATATGACTCGGCGTTCATCCCAACACAATATGACGACAGGTTTAAGAACTAGATTTCAAAAGGATTAACCAACTATAATTCATTTGTCCAAAAGGGGACACTACAAACCTTTGACACCCAGAAACATAAATATGGCTTGAGCTCCGAGGACTTCTTCAGATACCTACAGGTTAGACACTATTTTAATAAGAATATCAAAATGCCCTTAGCCGACCAGGGATTCCTTCAGACATCTATTTCACTAACAAAATCATTGTCACCCACACAAATTATTTCCAAATTATACAACAGCATTCAGCAGAGTAAGAGGAGGAACACATATTACATAAAAGAGAAGTGGGAAAAAGAAGGAGGGTTAACTATCACAGAGGAGAATTGGGAACACATATGTCAGATGCAATGGGCTTCAATGGAATCAGAACATTTGGCGCGAATTTTGTTGGAAAAATATCAGATTTTTCATTACCCCTGCTCAAAAAAGATATCAAGGAACTGGAGATGCTTGTTGGAGATGTGGCCACAAAGGGGCAAATCACTTCCATATCTTTTGGAATTGTAAAGTTGTTCACAAATACTGGTCTGAGATCCATGAACATTTACAAAACATATTTTCAATTACCTTACCATTAACATTTGAAACCATGTATCTGGGTAATATAGTAATTGATGAGTTTAATAAGAAGGACAAGAAACAGGTGCATCTCAATAAAGTAGAATATCATGGAAAAGTCCATTTATTTCAGTAATTCAATTCAAATAGTGTCACGAAGATGGATTAAACCTGAACAACCAACAACCGATGACTGGAAGGACATCATACAAGAGATTTATACAATGGAAAAAAATTTCCTTTTCACTCAGACTGCAGGAGGGCGCATTTTGTCAGATATGGTCGAAATGGACGGAATATGTGAAACCTGTGAGGCCTGACTTTGTGTAAAACTGCTGGGTGCCTATGTAGTAGTGAAGCTACATTGACTATTTATACACAGTGAGGTACCAATAAAGAAGAGGTTCCCCTGCCCCGGTCATGTTCATTGTTTGTTGTTTTTCATTTTGTTTTTCTGGTTAAAAAAAAAAAAGCAAAAGTATTGTATGGTAATACACTGCAGATTGTACTAAAAAAAAAAA